TTCAAGGAGACCTAATCCTTACATACCGCATTTTAACTGGGATAGTTGAACCGGTCTTGAGCTGGCTATTTAGCCCGGCTAGATTGCCTTGTCTTCGCGGTCATCCCATGAAGCTACACATGCCGCGTTCTGACTGGATCAAGGCGGAAACGCGGTTATCGCGTAAGTTATCGAGTGCTGGAACCCGTTTCCTAACAATGTAGTCAGTGAACCCACGGTTAAGGGTTTTGAGCGCCAGTTAGACGCTCTACGGTGGCAACACGAGACCTTTCCCTCCTCTTGACCCTATCCATTTTCCAACTTTGAGTTCATATTCTGTCATCCTCTTCACTCTTTGGTGCTATTCTTCATTTAAATGACTTTCCTTCCTCTTTATCTTCCATTTTCTTTCCACGTCTTCCTTACTTCACGTAACCTACACAGCGGGGACTGCTAGTGCAGGGAACGTGGGCAGTAATTGGTTGGCCAGGGTGTGGTTCGGGTGTTTCGTTTTAGATCCATCAAGACCTCGTAGCACCTTATCCTATCTTGGCTCAACGATCCGCTAAAGAAGGAACACTAAAAGGATTTTCCTATTGTTTCAGTCCCACCTGAATCCGACTGATCCCTTGACCTTGACGGTTAAGTGAATTCGCGTCACTATGGTTGGCGGCATCCGGTTTCGGATTTGCCTGTCACTGTGGAAAGCCACAAGACGTCTGCGCCTACAGAGGGACCATGGATGGCTTGCGCTGCACCACCCACAGCTCCAACCACACACCCCATATCCAGTGTAAATCCGAAGGAATAAGACCGGGAGGCATGTGGATGGGAGCCACGTTTCATCAACGGAGCCGGCCCACACTCCTTCACAGGCAAACACAAGCACGCTGTATTTGGGGAATCAAGCGCACACAAGGCGGTGGCTGGACCGTAGTCCGCTCCATACTGAGTGCATGGAACCACTCTTCGAGCCTAACACGGCCACAAGGACCGTGCACCCCGTCCCCTCCAGCAACGACCAACTGTCTCCTAGAGCCAGTATGGACGAAGTAGTGGGTAATAGACAGGTAGGCACCTTGTCAACATGCACATCAAGCGCAGCCACACCGGGGATATCAAACAGCAGCCAATCACTTGAGATAGAGAAAGAGAGACAAAGAAAATAACTCGATTAATGCATAAGGAAACGGGGACATAAACCTTAAGTTAATGAGCATATGGAATAAGTTGTTTACAAACGAATCCTAGATAAGTTCACGAGGTCAGAAAGTATACTTTACGGAATGCCACGACGACAAAAATGTTATGGAAATCGAATACAACTGGCTTAAGCGAAGTGTTCAAGTTAGTGGAATAGAGTACAGGTAGACATTTATATGAGAAAGAAAAGCATTAAGGCAAAATTGAAAACCCACCACCTGAAATAAAGAGACTTAGCATACAAGCACGCGGTTAGTAAATCGAATGCAGCGTACCTACAAATGCTGCACCGGTTCTGAGTACTTCTCTGCAGAACCCGTCATCGCTTCCGTAGTGGTCCCAAGTGGCCTCGCTCATGGCTCACTAGACACTATACTACTCCATCAATTGGATTTGGCTAGAGGCCTAAAAGAGTTGGTGATCGTCACTCAAACTTGGGAGATGGTCTATGTACAAACAGCCGATATATCTGCCGCATCCGTTCGGGTTAAATGGCGGGTTTTGTGATCCCAGTACACCTCTTAGATTGCTGGCTGTGATATCAATGCTATGCATTTTGTTACAACCAAGCGGACCTTCTAACACATACACACACATGATTGAGTGATATATCCGCAATTGGAGAGTGCGTCAGAACAAATGCAAATACAGTACTTAATCGTCCTATCGAATCCACAGCAAAACAATAAAAGTTTATCTCGATGACATGAACTAGTATACCCCGCAAACTAAATTGACTTGATGGAGGAAGAGAATGCGTTGGCACGTTGCAACACATCTAAGGAAGCTATGTCTTAGGTCGCAAGCAGTCCGCCGACGACGATCACGGTTCAGTGACTCGTAGGAGATTTCGTATCCAGTAGAATCCGGTGGGTATACGCTGCAGGCGGATCCCAATAAGACGAAACGACGATCCAGCTCTATTTCCGAGGAATAGCGGTGATTGGACAAATTCAGACCTCGACGAAACTACGCAGAGAATCCGAAATGGTGACAGCTTGAGCGAGTACGGGATTATTAGAGCAGATGAGCTATGGCATCAATGCGAACAGTATTTTACTTAACAGGACCAACAGAAAGGGACTAGGTGGGACGAAGTAACAATCTTCTAATTAGCCTCTCGATACAAACAATAGGGCTCAAGTATTCAAGCAACTCACCGATCATATGAAACCTTTCCCTCTGAAAATGTCTCCTTCTGACTAGCTGTAGTTGATGGGTGAGGGATATTTTCGCCGTCAGTAAATAGGATTGCATGTACCGTCGCACCAGGTTCCATCTTTGCAGTACCATCGAAAGGCAGACAAGCTGAAGCTGGGCGAACAGCCGTCTTTGTGACAGAGTAGTTGGAATGCGATGGTTGGGTTTCGGTGTGCTCGCCTAACGCCGCAGAAAAAGTAGTGTATTCACTCTGAATGGCATTCTGGTCGAAGACCTGGGTGTGGGCGAGTGCATCTGTTAAGTGTGGCTTTGATTCCTGTTCATGATAACCTGAGTTGGTTTCATTCTCCATCCCTGGCAAATGCCCTCCTCCTGTCTGAGCATACATTCGAAACCAAGATGGAATGGGTGTTGCCGGTAGCACACGCGTGTAGTCCGTGACGGTGTGCATGAGTTCTTGCGTACCTTGAGAGTATGCCATAGTTTGCGGGGCAAATAGTTGTAAATGCAGAGGTCCCACCAAATCCACACTGGGGTCTGCATTATTGTCGTAAGGTACGGACGGTTCACTGGCATTTGGTTCCGCATGGAAAGAATCCGCACCGGTTCGCCCGTCTGCCAGCTCCAGACTACTGAGCGTCCGGGCACCGGGTAAAATGTATATACTGGAGCTCATTGTGTCCACGCGAGTCAAAAATTGCTACTCTACCGGCAAAATGTTGCAAGACTTTAGTAACAGCGTCTGCCGCAGCCGGAACTAGAGCAGGGCAGTGGTTGCCTTAATCTCGACTTGCCTGTCCCGTTTGCCGCCGTACACTCAGCCGGATGAAACAATTTCGCACAGATTCTGCTACTGTTGGTGTCGGTGGAATTGTTCCAACAAGTTGCCGAGCCGTGACCAAGTCTGGTTTTGCTAAATTTTACAACCGCTGGCATATAACGTTTTGTTTCCAAATTGGTCACAACACTGGGCAGCGGTGATAGGTGCCTTTCCCAGGCAAATATGCACATACGCATAGACGCATTTTTCCTCTAGAGAGTGCAACTGGTAAAGGCGCAAGAAAGGGCAATGACGCAAAATCTAACACATACGGACGCACGGACGCGTGCTGTACACACAAACAGTGCGACGGCGCAACACACAACTTCTCACCGGTTCCTTCGTCTACGCATATGGATTTCTAGCGCAAATCCACTGTGCGTTTCACAAACACGGGTTAGGGAGCCCTACGCCAGCCATAATTTGACCCTACAAAGGCAGAGAGAAAGCAGACAGACCGCTTTCATCCGGCCAATCAGATGAGAGAGGGGGCATGAAAGAACGCAGAGTGTGCACAGACCTGATAGCCAGATGAATTTGCGGCAAAATAGGTCAGTCATCCAGGCAGCAGTACGAGGTGGTGTGTCCAAACAGGTGTGCGTGTGTATGTTGTGAGCTCGAAAGTTACAACATTGTACCGAAACATATCGCACGGTGGCGAATTTCGAATAATGTGGCCCAACTCGCTTCGTTCGAGGACACAATCGGGTACAAACTTAGTCCCTTTCTACATCTACTTGGAACCCCAAGACGTAGCAGCTGCGAGTCCGTTCGCTAGACTACCACCTCCCCGAACATTGTGACAGCGTAATTAGCCGTGTCTCGCATCTGTTTATGTGACTAGCCGGGTTTAGAAAACACTGCAACCGGATTTGCTTGAATCGATCGGCTGGGTACACTGGCGTTGGACATTGTGCCAACAACAGCGACAGTTACTACCATGTCAACGAGGAGGGGAGAGGCAGTTGTTTCATTTGAGGCTCATCGTTGTACAAGCAACAACAACCACTACTACTACTACTACAACAAGTGGTAAGGTATTCCGTAATCGGACGCCGCCACCCGCCAGAGCAGTATGGCATCAAGGTCTCAGGGAGAGGTGACAGTGAATTCTGTTTTATCAAGTGGAGCTTAAGGGCTGCCTCGGGCGTATTCGGAGCAGATACATGGTCTCATATTTTACTTGTCGGCTGCGTCACAAACATGTTGCTGTGATCTTAACTGGCCTCAAGAATGTGAATGACTATGTCAGCCTTCCAGAGGTGCATGGGAGATCACGAACATTTGTTCGTTTCTGGCCTGAAATAGAAACGAAAGTTAGTAGCTCAAGTTGTTCTGGTGGTAGTCGGGCTGTTCGCGGAACTTGACAATGTGGTTGCAGATGTTTCGTCACCAATCGAAATGACATGAACGGTGCGTTGTTGAACAGCGTGTAACACTCTCATCGGTGCTGCACTGCTACACTCTACTCAACAACGCACCGATGAAATCATCGATGTTTGTCGAGATGCTTGCAAAAAATTACTAAGTTCAGCGAACAGTTCGGACATCAATCCGGGTCTGTTAAGCCACACTATTGTCGTGGACCCATTGTATAATAGGATAAGAACGTAAACGGACCCACCTCGTCGTCGTGTTATCCACGTAACGTAGCACTCTCCTTCGGCTATACTACTACTATGCGCACCATGTATGGGATTGTATGGGACTGAAACGCACTAAGGTCAATCGAAGCACAAGTTTATCAATCTAAACAGGATTTACGAATAATTATAAGCATGTACACATGTCCAATTACTTGGACCCTCAAATGCCAGAAATCAAGTGGGTAGCAACGTCGGCACTGATCTCTTCACTGCACAGCAATGAACCTAGTAGAACGCGTCTAGCGGCATGATTAAGTCGAAGCAATAATTGGGATCGGACATTCCAAGTCAAGGCAGGTTAGGAAGGAAAACTCTAAGCGAACAACCGAGGCGTCCATCGTTGTTACCGAGCCAGCGCATGGCAGGCGAGCCAAACTCGCCCGCATAGATTGGGGCGAGCAGATGGCAAAGTGAGTGAAGCGGCCATTTAACACGAGGGTGCTATTACTTCATTGGCCATAAGTTGACCGTCTTGGAGTTTGCCACATGAGCTTTAAATACCATTCATGAACTTTCGGTCTTACCTTAATAATGAACGGTATGACTAGCTAATAGAACCGTCTTCCTCCGCTCGTCCGATTTAGTCTTCTCTCTTTCTCCTGTGGGAGGCCAGCGACCTCGAGTTCCTATTTATAATCAGCCGTCAATTCAAGCGAGGGACGATCACTTTAAGGCACTTATGCCGTTTTCAGCACCACATAGCCACATATGGTAGGCTATCATGCGAATAAGGCGGCATCGGCGAGCGACCTCCTTGCGGCCGCCAGAAACCCATTTCACTATCGATTTGGCCTCAGCTATTTAAGTAAATAACTATTTATTTTCTCAGTTTAACAAGCGACTGTGTCCATGAATAGTACAAGTCAGTAATTATGTCTAACGCAGTTCCCCGTGTATGTAGATATTCAGTAGAAAATGTTGATTTGCGCACTCGATATCTTGGAACACATTTGGAACCGATCGGGAAGTCATCACTTCAGAAAACTTGGTAGACGACCGGTTAATATATTTATGGTGATACACAACGTTTCGCTTTTGACACAAAAGCGAAACGTTGTGTATCACCATAAATATATTAACCGGTCGTCTGCCAAATTCTCTGAATTGAATTGCGCTCAGTAACAGTAAATAATGTGCATATTTCGGAGGTCTATAAGTCCTAATACGACAAATATAGACCATGCGATTTTCAATTTCCACTCCCACTCATGTGGTTTGAAATCAATGCCATCTAATTTGCAGCATCAATTTGACTCGCCTTTCTTATTTTTTCTTTCGTCTCTGAGGCTCGTATGGCCCACTCGAGTGGATACAAATGAGAGGGTTGGATAGGGTGAAAACTACGCGTTATTACGTACTCAACAACGCATATTAACTAGAGCATTTAATTTGGGGGGGGGGGGAGTGGAAGGTGTCAATTTGTCTACGCGTCGAAAGTGTGAGCTATTCTGGAGATAGAACTGAATGAGTATGAGGAGTACAATTGCCTTTGATATACCGTTTTCAGTGACAACTTGCTGTTTGTGCGAACGAATATCGGCCGATAATGCCATAAGAATGAAAATGAGAATCAAATCAAATTGCCTCACCTATCAACTTACATGTAGACATGCGAGATGAAAGATGGGCTTGCAATATGGAGATTTAAATGCTGTCTGGAAGCAGATGGCGAAAGGGAAGAAAACGTAGAATGCAGATAAAGCTGTGACTCTAAGACATGTCGCTGTGTTTGGTTTAACGCAGACGCATGGTGCATCGTCAAGCTAGGTGCAACGAAAGCGGAAGATAAGATTGTGGTGAAAGCCAAGGTCTTGGATTGGATTTGGCTGTCCAAATTGGATGAAATTAACTAATAACAGTGTCATGTATCAAATACATCGGTGCACGTGTGTTGTCACATGGTCATAGTGTTTCGTCGCGCAAGCGTGGACAGGAGGCAGAAGCTGTGATATAGGTGGACTGACTTCGAATCAGTGAATTTCGCTATTCACTATATGGCACTTGGCGCTTCCTCATATAACGTGGTTACACTCAAGTCTTTGTTGGGCATATCTCCCACTTTATTCACTGTTAATTCTGTCTAGTAGAGTACGGAAAACCATCGTACGTTCCCAAAGTTTGCAGCAGCCTGTTCCACGTAAATGCGTGGTGGTTAGAAATCTGCTCTTAAGCTGTTTCATGGTTTTTCGATTGGTAATATGTTACGTCTATTCCTTACATAGTACTTAAGGAAAGGTTGAAGTATCATGTGTGTCCGAAACTTGTCAAACATAAGGATTTGGTTAAGCTTTAGTCTCCTTGACCAGAGGGGTACGGTTTTCATGTCACAACATCGGTCATAGTAAGTAAGATTACCAGCATTTCTCATTAGGTGCTTCGTAAGTAGGGGCAGCATATTTTCTATTGTAGTCCTGTCACTATTTCTCAGGTTGGAGTATGTTAACCAGCAATCTTCTAACAAGAGACGAATACGCGTTTTATAAAGGTGGATTTTGGATTCATTCAAAACGTAGCTAGATGAGCCGGTTGAGGCACGACGGTAAATACGCACTGTGGTCAAACAAATCCTGTATTGTCTACAGTCAAGCACCAGATGCGTCCCATGGATCCAAACATGGAAGGTGGGACGAGCCGGGTCAGTGAATTGCGCCCTCGAACATCACGACATCCTGCTCAGTTAAACAACACTAGCGGTAGGCAAATATAGCTAGCGCGCGTTTGAGTTAACGCGTTGAACTCATCTAGTTTTATTTACTGATTTATCGAATTAACTTGATCATTATGGCTCAGCTTTCGCCCTTTACTCTCACTAGGTTGGAAATGGAACGCCATCTGACACTGATGACTTGCCGTAGGTACCTGAGACTCTCAGACCGAAGGGACCAATGATCACCACAAAAGAACAGCCCTCAGTACGGTCCCCTATACACGGCCTTTATACCCATTCAAATCCTCGCTTTTGTGTCACAGGTGGCTTGGATTCGTAACTTTCAATCCAACTTTTATAGAACACAATTGCGTTTCAGGTGCGCACTTCTTTGCCAATATATGTTAATCGATAAGTCCTCTTCGGATTCCTCGTCATCAAGGTTCATGGAACTATCAAGCGAATGGCTGTCTTGCAACAACATTTTACGCTTCGAACGCACGAAGCGCATCTCAAATGACAAGACCAACAAAGAGGGTTGGTTATGACGCCTAGTGGCACTT